AGGGACTTGCTCTGTCACCCAGGCTGGAGTGCAGTGATGTGACCTCAGCTCACTGCAGCCTTGACCTCCTGGGCTCAAGCAATCCTTTCACCTCAGCCTCCCAGGCAGTTGGGACTACAGGCATACAACACTGCACCTGGCTAATTTTTTATTTTTTATAGAGATGGAGTCTTACTATGTTGCCCAGGCTGGTCTCAAACTCCTGGACTCAGGTAATCCTCCCACCTCAGCCTCCCAAGCAGCTCTTGGGAATATAGCACCACCACCATGGCTGGCTAATTTTTTATTTTATTTTATTTTTCGTAGAGTGCAGTGGCTCTATCACTGCTTACTGCAGCCTTGACTTCCCAAACTCAAGCAATCCTCCCACCTCAGCCTCCCAAATAGCTGGGACCACAGGTGCCCAGCACCACCCTCGGTTTATTTATTTATTTATTTATTTATTGCTGGAAACGAGGTTTCACTATGTTACCCAGGCTGGTCTTGAACTGCTGGGCTCAAGCAACCTGCCTACCTCATCCTCCCAAAGTGCTGGGATTACAGGTGTGAGTCATTGTGTCTGGCCTCCTGTTTTCTAAATTTCAAAAGTAGTACCTGCTTACTGCACAATTTAAAAAATTCAGATAAGTGAAAGAAAACTTAAAAAATACTCATTGTGATCAGGTGCGGTGGCTCACGTCTGTAATCCTAGCACTTTGGGAGGCCAAAGTGGGTGCTTCACGAGGTCAGAAGTTCGAGACCAGCCTGACCAACACGGTGAAACTCCATCTCTACTAAAAATACAAAAATTAACTGAGCGTGGTGGCGCTCACCTGTAGTCCCAGCTACTCAGGAGGCTGAGGCAGGAGAATCACTTGAACCCGGGAGGCGGAGGTTGCAGTGAGCCGAGATCGCACCACTGCACTCCAGCCTGGTCGATAGAGCAAGACTCTGTCTCAAAACAAACAAACAAACAAACACTCGTTGCTGGGTGCTGTGGCTTGCGCCTGTAATCCCAGTACTTTGGGAGGCTGAGATAGGAGGATGGCTTGAGCCCAGCAGCTTGAGACCAGCCTGAGCAACAGAGTGACATCCTGTCTTTACAAAAAATTTTTTAAAAAATTAGCTGGACATAGTGGTGGGCCTGCAGTTTCAGCTACTTGGTGGCTGAAGAGGAAGGATCACTTGAGCCTGGGAGTTAGAGGCTGCAGTGAGTTGTGACCATGCCAGTGCACTCCAGCTTGGGTGACAGAATAAGATGCCATCTTAAGAAAAAGAAATATTAAAAAAACCTTTTTATCCTACCAATGTATATACTCATGTGTGTACATGTACACACACGTATGCATACCCCTACACACACTAGAATTGCTAGTTTATAACCATATGTAATAATAGTTTATATGGACATAACAGTGCATACCTATTATATTAGGTACATATGTAATGTATTTCATATACGTTTCATACATATTTCATTTCATATTAAATACAGATTCTTGCATGTACATATATTTGAAAAACTAAAGAATAGGCTCCTCTGGTTTTGTGACCAGTTTTTGTCATTTAATGTAAGCTGAATTTTTTTTTTCTGTTAGGGAATTTTTCTGCAGGAAAATATTTCAAGGCCACCTGGTATGTTATAATACAAACATGTTATATCCATTTTACAGTTGAGGACGTGGAAGTGCTGAGATGCAACATAAGTTCCCCCAAATTACTCAGCTACTTGAGGCACAGCTGACATCCAGAAGCTTCTCCGGAAAGGCTTTTGGAGTTCCCCAAGGCAGAGTCAACAAGAACGTAAGTTCCTTGACAAGAGGGACTGTGTGCCTCACTCACTGTCATCTCCCCACCACCTGCCTCAAAGTGGACATTCTGTTAATAGTTACTGAGTGAATAGACGCAGGAAGTTCAGCCTTTTTTGATCTAATTTCTTGCTCAAAGCTCATCACAGCATTCAACATGTGGCTTCCTCACTAACCTGTGCACCCCTCAAGTCCAGGACCATGTCAGATTGTCTTTGAATCCCTCAGCCCCAGTCTCAGACCTGCATCAGAGCAGGTGTTCAGCAAATGAATATCAAATTGTGGAAACAGGGATCTTTCCATTCTGGATTCAAGACAGTGCCCTCCCTGTGAAGCTTTTCTGAGCCCTTTCACACTGAAGTTCTCCAAACCTTCATGTTGACACCTATCTGCCTGCTGCCCTCAGTCCAGGAGCAACTTGGACATCAGCCCTTCCTGTCACACTGGGGTTGGTGCACCTGGCCTGTTCCGGGACAGATCGCAAGGCTGAGGGTTAAGTAACACCTGGAGTGGTTAGGAGGCTGGGCACCTCCTTCTTGTGAATCTCCCGGGCTGCGTGGCGGGTGGCGGGTGGCTGGCAGGGGAGGACCCTTGGCACTGCTGTGGCTTTGCTTTTGCTGCCAGCGGGGCCTTTGATGCCCCAGGGGCTGCTTGCCCAGCCAAAAGCATTGTAGAACACAAAAGCTGCAGAAAGCAGCACAAATAAAGTAAAAACGACCCAGGAACTGCCAGGAAGCTTATCAACCTGTTTCCTGGTCACAGGTATGGGGTGTAGGGAGGCACGGGGAGCATTTCTGGGCCCTTGTGATCTCCTGCACATTGCCAGGGCCCCTGGTATTGTGTACAAAGCATTAACCTGGAAGCTAAGCAAGGCTCTTCACCTTGCAAAACTGACTGAATGAGTCCAAACTCTTAGAGTTTTTGTGAGGGTTAGATAGGTTGATAAGTTAAAGTGCCTACTCTGTGTGTGTGCATCTAATAATGATAACAGCCACAGTAGTAATAACGATAGCAGCTAATACTTTCTGAGCTTTTCATATATGCCAAACACTATTTTAACTGATTTTTATATCAATTCATTTAATCTTCATAATGACACTAAGAGGTAGGTAGTACTGTTGTCTTCATTTTATAGATGAGAAATTTCACCAAAGCTCAGAGATGTTAAGTAATTTCCTTAAGATGGCACAGCACATGAAAAGACAATCCGGCATTTGAACCTGGCACTCTGGTTGTGAAACACTGGTCTATAGCCACCTTGCTACCCATTTCTTCCCCCTAGCCTTTGGAATATTGTGTTCCCCTAATTATTATGGTAGTGAGGACAACCACGTGATGATGATGATGAGGAGGAGGATGACGACGATGACAGTGATGGTGGTGGTGAAGGAGGAAGACATGCCCTCATTTCGTATAGCAATCTGCTTCTTGCTGGGATTTCAAATCCATTTTCATTGTTGATCCTGAGAGCAAGCCTTGGAGGGGGAGTCACTTTGAAATCCCAGGAAACTGGGCCTTAAGAGGCAGCTGAAGACCCATGAATTCATGCGGTGGAGTCTGCGAGGCCCAGAGCGGAAGAGGAGGACATGGGTGTAGCAGCCCACACTGCTGTGCCTACAGCTCTGGATCCTGACTCTGTGAGTGGGCCCAAGGCTGCTGGAACCTCTGGGGCTATAGCAAGAAGGGTGAGGAGGTTGCCCCACTCCTGCTGCCTTCATGAACATTGGTTGTTCCCTCAGGACAGGAAATTGAGGCTGTTCCCTTGACCTCTCCAGACAACTTCGTGGTGACTTCAAGCCCTCTTATGAGGTGGTGGATCATAGCTACCGTTGATTGAGGTAAGACCTTCATTTATTTCATTTAAACTCATCAGTAGCCCTGGGAGATGCATATCATATTTCCATCACGGTGTACCATAATTGCATCAATTAATTTTTGCCACGGCAATGTGGAGTAACAACTACAGAATCTGAGTGGCTTTCAGTGTTAAGCATTTATTATCTGCACATCTGGGGAGACTGGCCAAGCAGCTCTGCTGAGCTTGGCTGGACTGCCTCCACATCTGGGGTGTGACTGCCTGGTGGCTGATGTCATTTTGCTGGAGTCGCTGGGGTGTCTCCACTCTGCCCTCTGGGTCTTTCGTCTCCTTCTGAAACCAGCAGACTAGCTGGGGGAGTATCCTTCTTATGGTGAAAAGCACAGAGCAAGAGCAAGACCATTCCTAGGTGAACAAGCCCTTTCCAAGCTTCTGCTGGCCTCTCTTTTGCTAGCACCCCATTGGCTGAGGCGGGTGACCTCACCACGCTGAGTGTCAGAGTGGGAAGGCACTGCAGAGGTGCCTGGTGGAGGGTGAGGGTGCAGGTAGGGTGAAGAGTCAGGACCTGTTTGCACTTAATCACAGGTGATGTCATCTCAACTGTCCCTCAGGCTTCTCTGAGCTTTGCTGTCATCCTTACTTAAAACTATTTGCATTGTTAGAAAGAAGAAGAGACTAACAGGCACCTAGCAGTGACTGAATACCTAAAAATCCACTTAAGGAGATCAATGCTATGGCTGTCCGAGGCTCTGTGGGACCAGGGGGCTTTATCAAGGTTGCCTCACAGAGCAGTGGCTCAGCCAGCATTGGAATGTCAGTTGCCTGATTCCCATTTGTGTGTGCATGTGTGTGTGTGAACCCAAACCTGTGCCCAGGTCAGACTTACGTGACGCTTGCAGTCAGTTCTCCCTCACAATGTTGCCTAGGTCCTGGAGGCTGGAAGGAAAGGAAGCTTTAGGAGAGAGCAGTTGTGACCTCCTTTCCACAGGTTGCTATCACCACAGGTTTTCCACAAGCTTCTCCCTGGGTGGCCACCCCAGAGGCTAGAACATAGCAGAGGACTTTTCATAAAATCTTTGGAGTCTTCAGAAGAAGGTCTTTTGAGATAGGTCATGGAGAAATGAGGCCTTTGAGCCATAAATTAGCCATTGTGTGCAGGCTGGGGCCTCACCAGTTCAGCGAAATCTCCAGCCTTGAGAACTGAAACTGACTTGGGGCTCTGATTTTGACAATGGCCTTGAAGTAAGGGATTCCTCCTTGTGTAGTTAGAGCTGCTTCCCCTTCTCTTTTGTCCCTCTTCACCGTGGCATAGCCCCAGGGAGTCCAGATGCCAGATGAAGTCTTTCACCTGTATCCTGAAATCCATGCCCGTAGGAATACTTTTCTTCACTTTCCTGCCTGAGGCCCCTCTCCACACTTTTGCTTGCTTTCCCATGCTAAGAAGACATATTTGAAAGTGATTCCTGGGTGGCCAAAGTCAGAAGGCTGGGTAGCCATCTGCCTTGCCGGCCACCTCCCCAACCCTACCGAGCTGTGAGCTTATGGGTGGTACCATCTGCAGTTCTGCACTTTTTTTTTTTTTTAGCCCTGACCTTTGGCCTAATAAAAGCAAAGTGCAGAGCTTTGAATGAAGGAGATACAAACAAGATGTTCTCTTCCTCCCCCAGCCCCTCTTTTCTCTCCTCCTTCTCCTCCTCCTCTTCTTCCTCTTTCCTTCTCTACACTTATTCTGTGCCAGACATCAACCCAGGGATGTATTTATTTTTCCCAGTGAACTAAAGGTTTATAAGGAGGATGCCCTTTTCTCTGCAAGGACTAGTATTCTCTTCCTCTTGGAAAACTCCTGTTCATCCTTCTGGACCTGGGGGGGAAGAAACCCATTTCCCACAAGACTGTTCTCACCACCTGGGTGGAGTTGCTGATTCTCCATTTTGGAACATCACACTTTGAGGGCTTTGCTCTGGTCCAGAACACACTTACTATGCTGCTCTGGCTCATCTCTTGGTGTGTGTGTCAACTGAACCGTTTCAAGGGGATGACTGTGGCTCCTTTATTTATCTCTGTGTCCTCTGTGCCCACTACAGTGTCAAACACAACATGGAAGCTAAACATACATGTGCAAAATGGGCAAATGTAGGTACAAGCAGGGACACCCTTAGTTCAGCAGGGACCTTGGGCTCCAGATCACTCAGCTCTAACTTGGAAGCTGGAACACCTGGCTGTGTTACACAGGCAAGACCTGTGTCTCCATATGCACCATTTATTCCTCACACTTGGCAAATGTGTGCCAAAGCTGAAAGAGTTCAACCTTATAGAGTTTGACAGGTTCAGGTTGGCATCCTTGCTCTGCCTTTTCCCAAGCAGGGAACTTTGAGTAAATTACTTTACTGCTGCCTTTGCCACAGTTTCCCCATCTGTAAAATACACATAGAAACACTTGCTTTGCCTGATCTGTTGAAAAGAAAAGAATAGAGATGATGTTTGCAAAGTCCTGGCATGTGCAGTATCTATTATGGCTCTTTTATTTATCCTGCAAAGCAACTGTTCATAGTATCACATGGCGGGCAGGGGTAGGGGGCAATAAAAGCGTTTGTGGCAAGGATCCAGTTATTTGCAGGCTTCTCTTCTGTCTGGCTTTGTTTACTGTCATGCAGGAAAAGTGCCTTCACCAGGGCACAGCAGTAAACCTGTTGGCTACTCTAGCCCTGCCTGGGTTCCCAGGAAATTGGCAGGAGAGGAGCTGCCTGCTGCTTGTGGGCCTGCTGTTTAGGCTGCAATCGCTGTGGGAACACACAGGGTTAGGAAAACAAACACATGACTCATTGGGGACTTCCGACCTCAAGCCAATGAGGTGCTGACACCTTGCAATTTCTGAAGGTTCCCAGTAGATATGCATGTGTCTGCTCAGCCTTCCTTGGACCTGAGCCCATCTCTCTCTGCTCTCACACTCTGTGGGGGGCTAGGGGATGGAATGCTTGTGTTCCTACCCTTCTGTCCTCCTTCTGCATTTATTGAGCCTTGCTAGGTGCTGGGAATGTGATGACAAGTAAGACAGTGCAGGCAGGCTACAGACAAGTCAACACATGCGGTCTGCTGGAAAGCAGCCCCCCAAAGATGACCATAATCCCTGGGACCTTTGACTGTTACCTCACATAGCAAAAAGGACTTTGCAGATGTGATTAAGTTAAGGATCTTGAGATGGGAAGAGTATGCTGAATTACTCAGGTGGCCCCAAAGCAATCACAAATAGTTACTTATTAGTGGTTCCTTATTAGAGGGAGGCAGAGGGAGATTGACTACCCTAGATGAGAAGGTGATGTGACCATGGAAACAGAGATTGTAGTGATGCAGCCAGAAGCCAAGAAATGCTGGCCGCCTCTAGAAGTGGAAGACAAGAAACTGATTTTCCTTTGGAGCTCCAGAGGGACCCAGCCCTGTTGATGCCTTGCTTTTAGTTTCTTATGACTTAGTTCAGCCTCTAACCTCCAGAAGGGTAAGAGAATAAATTTGTGTTGTTATTAGCTGCCAAGTTTGCGATGATTTGTTAAAGCAGCAAGAGGAACTAATACAACGTGTCCTTGCAATGTTATGAGTGTTAACACCACTTCCCTAGTGATGAAGGAGACTGAATAGCCCAGTGGTTCCAAGGTAGATCCCTGAAGTCCCAGTGCTTTGGTTCAAGTTCACATCTGCCTTTTGTTGGTTAAGGGGCCTTTTGCCATGTTACTTCTCAAAGCCCCAGGTTTGTCTGTCATGTGCTGTAACATCATGTTGTAAAATAAGGGTAATAGTCATTTCCATCTCATGCATGGTGGTGAGGATTGAGCTGTGAAATGCACATAAAGTTGGCTGTCTGGAGCGCAGTATGTACCCCAGCACCTTCCTCCTGTGCCTTGACTCTTACACCTCCTCATCGACAAGAAGGCACTGTATGCTGGAGAATCTCTCTGCAGGGATGTCGCAATGCAGGGCAATATCTGGAGAGGTGTTCTGGGCTAAGGCTTGTGGATAGGATTGATAGGACATTTAGTAGTTAGCAGTGGGAGGAGGCGGGGGTCCCCGAGACCCCATGCTTCTGCAGGGCTGGGCACTGTGTGGGGGCCTCAGTAGTTTAGTGGCTATTCTGAAAGAGTCACTCACTCCTGATCCTCCCAGGCACTGCCATTCACAGGCAGCCCTAGTTTTACCTCTGTAAGCTACTCATGAACATACATCATTCTTTTATTTAGTAAACAGGAATCTCACCCCTGCCATGTACCTGCCAGGCATTGTAGGAGTGAATGGAAGCTGCTGCAGGGTTACCGCACCTGGGCTTTGCCAGAAAGGTACTAGAAGGCCGTCAAAGCAGCTCCTGGAGGACAGTTGAGCAAGTGACTGTTAGAGAAACCTGAGGCTTCGTTAGGGCCAGGACTTGGCCACAGGGTGCTCTTCCGTTCCTGCCTGCCTCTGCTGCATTGAGGATGCAGCCTCCAGGCCCACCATGTGTTCGGGCTCCTTCCCTGGGACATTTGGGATGGTTTTGATGCATACTTGCTGTTGAGATTCTCACCAAATAGCTGCCTGGGCCGCTCTCCTCCTGACCAGTCAGCCACCACCACTGCCACTGCCAGAGGTCCACAGATGGAGGCTCCCCTAGGCAGTGGGAGGAGGCAGGGATGCCCGAGATCCAGCGCTTCTGGAGGGGTTGGACACTATGCTGGGGCCTTAGGCCCTGCAGTCACCACGCCTCTGAGGGGCAGGAGCCACTGGGTCCATTTTACAGTCTCCTCACCTGTCTTTCAGCTGGTGATGGGACATAAGCCCATTTGTTTTCATTTTGCACATACGTTCAGAGGGGAGTAATCATTATCACTGCTTCCCACTGGGGAAACTGAGGAACAGAGAGGCTGGCTGACTCATGGTCACACAATGAGTAAGAGGTGATCCCAGATGAGATTCTATAATTTATACTTTTAATGGATTTTCCAGCTGTGGGTTTGGGGGAGCTTGCTTTGATTCGCTATAGAGAATATTCTTTTCCCT